GCAGGCAAGTGGGCAAGTGGTGTGACTAAAGCAAGCCCATGTTGGAGAGAGTCTAGAAAGTACCAGTCCGGTCCAGCAAGTACCACGGGGGGGAACTGTGTGCACCATGGGCTAGGGACACAAGGCAGACCAATGCAGCACAGAAGTATAAATCAAGAGGCTGCGTCCATTAATTCATTCATTCCTGCGGATGCCAGGCGGAAGCGCTGCCTTAGCAGCTTGTGCGAGGCGGTCTGCAGTGTGCCCGAAGACGAAGTGGGCAGAGAAGTGTAGTGTAGCGATAGGGTAGAGGCAGCTAGCGCTGCCATAGCTGTAGCATAGTAGGTGTGTGTGTTGTGTATGATACTGAGTGTTGCGTGTGGGACATCCAGGGTGATCCAGGGTGCGAACAGTGAGTTGTGTGGGCGCCCAGTCGCCATAGCCAGTTGAAGAGAACTCATATCTGGACGATATCTTGAGTACTGTGTGGGCGCATGTCGCCAGTTGCTGTACCGCTGTTTGCAGGCATGACGAAGTGACAGGAAGACGAGTTTGAATTCACTCTCACACACGGGACGTATGATCCCCAACCCCCCCCTAAAAAAGGGTAGCGGGCCGATCACACAGATTCGCCGAAGTACCAAGTGTACTGTTGGTGTGCCCATTTTGTCAGCGAGGAAAAGGAATTCTGCGGTCCTGACCTTTTTTTTTCCGCATTTTTTAAAAAAAATGGCAAAATTTCGTTTGCAAAAAAAAAAAGTTATTGCACAATTTGTGGATGGCGCCGCGTGACCTGTGACCTTGTCCCATCCGAAAAGGTACAGCAGTGTGACGTGAACCATGCCCAGAACCTCAAATCGGCGCTTCTCACTCAAATCCGCATAATCCACATATTTTGCGCTTTTGGGGTCGCAGTGTGAGTATGCCCTCAAGCGTTGAAATCGAGAAAATTGGAACCATAGCCCCCTGTGCAAGGATGGCAAGAGTAAATCGAGAAATGCTTCAAGTTAAATTTAAAAAAAAAAAAAAAGTTCGGCGGTGCGGAACAACCACGTGTCTTTACGGGAGGAGTAGAGAAACCTTCTCCTCCGCAGAAAGCTTTTAGGTCAGGGCGATATGATCGACTTGTGTTCTTCTTTCGACGTGTTTCGGCGTGTTTTCTTCTTTCGACGGGTCTTCTTCTTTCGCTGATCTGATAACGTACAGCAGTCTAGCCCTGTGCTTCTGTCTACGTGTGTGCTATGTACATGGGCAATTCACATGCATACATCGGCCGCGGGCCGCTAACGGCGCGCACTTCCGGCCTTCGGGGTACCAGACGGGGACCAAAAGGGCCTCGCTKGACTACTCTCRAAATGTGCAAAACGAGAGTGAATCKTCTGCTAGAACATGGAAAGATACACCACCATGAATTTTGTGCGTTGTGCATTTCGAGAGTAGTGCTGCGAGGCCCAAAGTCTCAAATTCTCGGCCCCTCGACAGCCTGTGTGGCGAAGGGGGGGGCGGGGCGCAAATTGTCGACCGCCCGACCGTGGAAAAATTTCTGATGACACACCTGTCATAAATGTTCGACATTCGACAGCCTGTGTGTGATGAGCCTCTCCGTCCAGAAAGGAACAAGTCACGAGCCCGAAACTTTGCACTCGGTCACCCGGACGGACGAGGCCCAAACAAAAAGAAAGATGGAATTTGTTTGTTTTCTTTTCTTTCACGCCAGTATGACGCGTGACGTCATCTTTCGAATTCTTTCAATTCACCGTCACTACCTACCTACCTGCCACGGCAATCCAAAGAAAAAGAAAAAGAAAAAGAAAAAGAGAAAGAAAAAGAAAAAGCTTCTGACGGCAAGAAATTGAAAAGCAAAAAAGAAAATGCTGACCGGATAAGGGCTCGCTCCACAAAAAGCTTCTGACGGCAAGAAATTGAAAAGCAAAAAAGAAAATGCTGACGGGATAAGGGCTCGCTCCACTACTCTAGACCGTGCAAAAGGAGAGTCCGAGTGAGMGAATCTTCCGCTACAACATGGAAGGATACACCGCCATGACTTTTCTCTTTTTGTGGACGTGTCGAGAGTCGTGGAGCGAAGCCCATGCTCACACTATGGACTTTTTACCTGTCGGCGCGTCCGTGTGATGATTCATCCACGTGTGGACGTGACTGCACCCAACGTCTGTCATCGCCGAGTGGGACGTGAATGACATGTATGAAATTTTAGCGGGCGAACCAAATGGGTGCCACTTGTCGCATCCAGGACGACAACATGTAGGGAGACAGGGTGGGGAAGCATAACCGCCAGACGGAGGGCGTAAAAAGGCCAGCAATCAGTGCCACGGTTGTTCATCAGGAATTGCCACGGTGGTTCATCAGGAATTGCCAGGAGTAGAGAAAAAGAGGTGGGTTTCACTCCCCCCCTTCTCCCCTCCCCCCCCTCAAAATTCAACTTCCAGTTACAAAAGGGTGGCTCGAACCACTTGTTTCGTTGGCACATACAATACAAATCGAATTTGACAGGTAGAAGCGGAACAAGGAACACCGTCGACACCCCTTTTCGACGTGCTTGGCTGGTAAGATCCCCCAATACACAGCTTTGGCCATCAGTCAGGGAGTGCAGTAAGTCTCTGCTGTTGCTCTCTTGGCACTCTTGCCCTCCAGTGCCGCTCGCTTTTTTTTCTTTTCGTCGTTCAACAGTCCGGAAGTGATCCATATATTTCGGGCGCAGACTCTTTTTCCCCACAAGCGCGCGCAGCTGAAAGATAGGACGGGCCGGAAGCGGTCTATTGCTTCGGCACCTTGGCGGAGAAGGGAGTAGAGGGAAGGGAGGAGAGGGAAGGGAGGAGAGAGAGCACGTCTACACTTGCACGCCATCCAGCAGCGAAGGCAGTGCAGGAGCGATCACTTGATGTGGAGGAAGTTGTAGAAGCGACTGTTGAACTTTGAATCGAGGACTTCACGACTGCCTCGGAGGAGTGCTCGAGGGAGGGCACGGCGGTCGAAAGAGGTAAAGGTGGGAAAGGCGGTACAGGCTCGAGGGAGGGAGACACTGTTGGCTTTTGTTCCCGACCACCTTGCTCTTTGCGTAGTGAAGGCACTGTTGGGAGGACGAGGACGCTGATCCCGATGGCGAGAAGAGTGTCCCGATCCGTCTCGTCCATGGCGGCTATGGCGGCGCTGCTGGTACTTGCCTTAATGCAGTCCGCCATCCACGGACATGCTGCGTCCCCGGATCCTGGTACGGTCAAGATCGAGAGTTTCAGTTATGCCGGCGACGGTTGCCCACCTGGTTCCGCCGAGGGCGCGGTGTCCGATGACGGCCAAGCGCTCACCGTCATGTTTAGCCAGTACACTGCCTCGACAGACGCTGGCAGTTCCGGTCTGAGGAAGGCGTGCACGGTGACGGCCGTGCTGAGTTATCCGCTAGGTTTCCGGTTCCACCTGCTGGACGTCACCATGCGCGGGTACATCAAGCTGGACGCTGGCGTGACGGGCACCGTTCAGACCAGTTACCATATCTCCGGGGTAAGCGGGACGACACGAGCTAAGCGCGTCATCACCGGCGCGTTCGATGACAACTTTGAGTTCACGGACAGTTTCGCTGCAGCCGTCTACAGCGAGTGCAACACGGTCAGGAACCTCAACCTCGTCTCCGAAGTGCGAGTGAATCCTGGGAACCCACCGGCAAGCGGCCTCCTGACCATGGACTCTCAGGATCTCCGGCTCACGCAAGTCTTCGCCCTCGCCTGGGAGTCCTGCTGAACCCCAGGCCATTGCCACCTTGTCGCCTCAGCACGTAGCACGCGACCAAACTAGGCTACATGCTCACGGACGGAACACTTCTCGTAGCGAGTCTTCCTGTGCATGTCCTGGGGTGCGACCGTCGGTGTAGATTCTCTATCTCCGCAAAACGCTCTACTTGTACTCGTAACTTTGTATAGGTCGGTTACTGGTAGTCGTAGCTGGTTGAGGGAGTCGAGTACTCGAATTTCTGCTGATTTGAAGGAATTCCCATCGCTGATCCGGGAGTGACTGGAGTAGATCCCAGACGGACTAGCCAAGGCATCTCTCTCTCTCTCTCTCTCTCTCTCTCTCTCTCTCTCTCTCTCTCTCTCTCTCTCTCTCTCTCTCTCTCTC